TTATTAAATCTATGGTTATTGTGGTTATTATTATTAGAATTTGCTCTATTATTAATTCTCGAAAAAATTTTATACGATCTTGGCCCGTAGTCTGATCATTGTTGTAGTATCAATTGTAGTTCTGATATCTAGCATTGTAATTATTTCCTTGAAAGTAATTTCTCAGATAGTCATTGAGTCTTGATGTCCATCGTTGTCTGATATCGCTATTGAAATGCGTATTTTCCCTTCTCTTGTTTTCTTCGTATCAAATTATTTGTTTGTCTGCCTGCATCTTTTATCTCTCTGCCCTTCTATACGATGACGTTTCATCAGCTTTTATTTTTTCATTTAGAGATATACTTTCTACCTTAGCAATTATATTCTCTTTTATCCTACCTCCTAAATTCTTAAACTTATAAAATTTCATTTATCGTAATATTCTCTATAAGGGAAATTCTTTGATATTTTTATTTATAGATGATATCTAAGCTTTCTCAGTCATTTTTTAAAACATAAAGACGGCGTGTTTGCCCAGTCAATGTTTCATTTTTTCCTTGGTCACATTAAATTTAACTAAACTTGAGTTTTTTGGGATGTAATAATCTAAATTTTTCAATCAAAATCGTAGGATGGATGAAGCCCTCGGCGTGCATATTACTTTCAATATTATATACTCGTCATCCAGTACCCCTGTAAATGATCCCGTCTTATCGATATTTGTAATCTGAGTACCTTTAATTGTATCCTTGTACCTAATTGAAAAAACTTCTTCGTTACCCGAAAATATTGGAAATTCTATATATATATTATTGTTATCATTTACTAACGGTTTTATTTTTAACTATTTATTTTATTTATTAATTAATTATACAATTTATTATATAAAATACAATATGACGTTAATTATATTCTTTCTTATCTTTTGATTTCGATAATAAACCAATCTCCCTGTGTATTCCTACACCGTTTGCCTTAAATTTGTCGATAAGCCGCCATCATATCCTCGATGCTGTCATAATAAAAGTGCATCCTTAATTTTATTTTGTGAATGTCTCGTATAATACCGCCGCCGAAGTTTTCATCATGTGTTATTTTCTGTCGTACTTGTTGGATATTTGATTACAATTAAATACTTTTACATAAAGTTAAAAATATATTAAAAATTTAATATGAGTGTAAACTTTACTTAAACGGTATGGTAGGTCTGCCACCATATAATTCTGAGAGAAAATTAATTTTATTTTTGAAAATAACACTTCTAAAAAATTATAACAATTCAATATATAATAAACTTTATTTGAATACTAAATTAGAAATATAAAACTAAGGTTATCTTAATAAAATATAAGTTTTGAATAAAAACTAAAAATGTTTCAAAATATAATACTCTAAGTTTTGAAAATAAAGTAAAAATAAATAATAATTTGAATATTCATTCGAATAAATTAATAAGACTATATAAATTTTTATTAAATGAGGGGTATTTTCATTATCAGATTTATACTATAGATTATATTTTATTATATTAACAATTGCAATCAAATTCTGTGTTAAAAATGGAATACCAATATCGCCCATAGTTATAATAATTTTATATTATTTATAAGTATATTATTATTTTAGAGTTATACATTCTATTTTCATATTATAGAATTATTAGTTTTTGAAATTCTATATTTAATAAATATTAAATATGGCATATTATATTTCAAATATAAAGTATTTGTATACGTAATAATAATGTTTAAATATCAATCAAGCACTAACAGTTAAAGCTTAATTGATTTTTATTATCTATATTATTTTATAACCCTAAATTAAATTAATAAGATTAATTATTAACTGAAAAATAAATTCAATTTTATGTGATTTGTATTAGCCGAGTTCAAAATCACTAATCAACTATATTATTTACTATACCTCTTTCTAAGAAAGAAGATCAAAACCAATAGAAGAAACTACTTTGTTAAAACTTAAAATATACTTATTAAAAGATCTTTTACTCATTTTTTATATTAGATAATAAAGAAGAGATCGATTTTGAGATGAATGCTTTAAATTATGTGGAAGAAATACTGATAATATTTTAGACAAAAGAAAAGGAGGCAATGAAAGAGTTGAAGTTAAATAAGTGTTGTTAAAATAGCGCGCTACTTTTTTCAGTAGCGGTAGCTATAGCGCGCTACTTTTTTAAAAAAATAGCGATAGCGGTAGCTCGCTACTAATTTAGAAAGTAGCGCTACTTCGCTACATTCAATTTTACATAATAAATACATCTAAATATTATTAAAATATATTTTTTATAAAATCTAAAATTATAATCCTTTTATTTAATTTAATTTTGAAATTTAAATTTATATCTAAAAATATACATTATTGTTATATATTAGATATAAACAGTTGTTAAATAGCAATCTGTATTTAATTTATATTTCGCGTATTCATTAAATTATATATTTTTGAAATTCCGTTATTGGTATGTCCTTGCTTTTATCTTATTTTATATTTCATTTTATATTAAGCATTATAAATCTTGTTATGTGTGAGATTGTTGAAGATATTGTAATTTCTTTGGAAAATGAGCAAAATATAGATGATCCTTTCCCAAAATTCAAGAAATACTTTAACCTTGAAGAAAAAATTAATACTGGATATCGGTTTCGGTGCAAGATGTGCCGCAAAATTATCTCTTCAAATCATACGAGCAGCTTTAATTTGAAAAAACATTTAAAGGTAATATATTAAACAAATTTAATATCAATGTGTAGGCTAATCTTTAATTTTTAAAATAAATTAAAATCAAAAACCAATCATTTTTTTTATATATTCATAAATTTTATCTAAATTATTTAAAACATTTTAAAATAGTTATTTCAATCATTTTTATGTACTTATCTCCTACATAATTTTTATTCCAAGTATTTTATAATTTTAGACTGTGCACACTTCAAATTATAAAGAGATTGAAAAATATCTCAAAAGTTTTGGGGTAATGGAAGAAGATAAACCCACTTCCAAATCAAATTTAATACAAACAAAATTAACCAATTTGGATTCATCAACACCTGGTGTATCCCAAAAATTGGCTGACAAAGTCATTATGAACTTTATAATAAATACAGTTCAACCATTATCCTTTGTGGATAATAATTCTTTTATAAAGATGATAAACACTTTTTCTCCACGGACCAAGATATTTTGCCGGCAGACATTGATGGCAAGAATTTTGGAGAGCTTTAAGGAAATGAAAGAATATTTGATATTAAATCTATCAGATGTCTCCTACGTCTGTACAACGGCAGATTGATGGACTCACAATAGAAGGTAAAAATGTTTATTTTCTTATTTATAATATGTCATATTTTTAGAGCTTATTTAGGAGTAACTGCACATTAGATTGATCCTAAAAATCTTAAACAAAAATCTGTAGCGTTAGCTCTAAAGAGAATAATTGGCTGTCAGACTTATGACATTCTAGCCAATATTATTGCAGAAATCCATAGGTCTTACAAAATTCAAAACAAGGTTTGTAAGATGATAACGGATAATGATAAATAATATTATATTATATTTAACCATTTTAATTTTTTAGGTTATGCAATATGTTGCTGCCTCACTTAAAATCTTAGAAGGGCAAGATAATATGAGCATGGAATATTATGTGCCCACTAATTACCAAGCTCAAAAGAATCAATAATCTAAAATTTTGCCAACCACTGGTAGAGTCTGTGCTAAAAGGCATTGAGAAAAGGTCAAAACTTTATTTTTATTTACTATTATTCAATTATATAAAATGAATGATTTATTGCTTGATTAGTCATAATTTAAATTGGCTTAATTTAAAACACAATCTATAATATTAATATATAGTAATTATTAATTAATATAAAATTCAAAATTAATATATTATTAATTACCTTGTGTATAATAATTTAAAATTTTTATTTACCATAATTTATTGCTATTTTAATATTTTATTTATAAATGAATCTAAATCTCAGATAAATTTAAATTTTAAAAATTAAAATGGTATTCTTCTTTTTTTTATAATAAATACAGTCACTTTATATAAATTAGATTTCCAGATCTGTATGATGATGATAATGTAATAGCTGCTATCGTTCATCCTAGTTTCAAGTTAAATTGGCCATACATTAATTTGACTGAATCTAAATGGCAACTTGATAGGCTGATGGTAACGTAAAAAATGGCATGCCTAACCACGATACTATAGCAAGATCGAAACCGCAGCCTTCCAAAGACGATTTTTTTGAAATAAATAATAATAATAATATTGAACCTATAGATGCTTTTTTTAAATCTAAATACTAATTTAAATATTTTTGATGATTTTTTTCATATAAAAAGTTTGTTTATTAAATTTAATACTGCGTTCCCCTCAAGTGCTAGTGCTGAACGATTATTTAGTATGGCAAAGCTTATACTTTCTGATCGTCGCTCTAGACTTGGGGATGACAGTACCGAAATGTTATTATTATTAAAGTGCAATAATAAATAAATTATATATATATATGTAACAAATTATTGTCATGTTTTTATATCAATATTTTATTTGTGGAAATAAAGTTACGTAAAAAAAAATATTTAAAAAAAAAATCAAAGTAGCATAAAAAGTAGCTAATAGCGCGCTACTCATTCTAAAACGATACCGGTAGCGATAGCGCGCTACTTTTTTTATAAAATAGCGGTAGCGATAGCGCGCTACTAGTAGCGTTTAACAACACTGAGTTAAAGTATATTTAATTAAAACATCTTTTACTTATTTATTTTATATTTTTAGGTACTAAAAAAAAGATATTGATTTTGAAATATTTTAAATAATGGAAATGAAAACTATATTAATTTTAATAATATTTTACACAAATAAAGAAGAGGCAATGAAAGAGTGGGAGTTGAACAAAGTACGCTTAATTAGATCATCTTTTATTCATTTATTTTATATTTATTAGATAATGATGAATGCTTCATATGGAAATAGAAATAATATTGATGTTGATATTTTAAACAAAGGAAAATGATGCGATGAAAGAGTTGGAGATGAACAAAGTATATTTAAAATACAGTTTTTCAATTGCTTGCTTTAGTTAATAAATGAAGATAATTGTAGTTCTGAGAGATATAAAAATTGAGAGCAAAAATGTTAAGAGAAAGAAAATAGGTAAATTAATTTATATGTAAATTATTTTATTTGTAAAACAATAGAAGCTCTATGTGAGGCTCAATTTGAAGAGATCTCTTATGGTATTAAATTTTCTAATGTAATTAAAGATAAATATAAATAAGGCATAGATACTGATGAGGTTATTGTCGGTAGCATTGGATAATGAAGGAAAAAAAGAATTTTTTTTTTCACTTTTATAATTCTTTATATGCAAATTTTTTTTCTAATAGAAATCACAAATATAAGGCTCTTTGATATTATAATTTATAATATATATTCTGCAAGCACAAATATTTAATATTGTAATAGATAAATATCTTGTATTAAAAAATATAATTTTAGCTTACCAAATGTCTTGTATTGTTTTATTATTTATATGCTAGTATTATTATGTATGTATAATAAATGATAAAATTTAATATTAAGTTCAGATTGTGCAAATTTATAAAGTGTAATGTATTTTTTAAAACCCCAACTGCGGGGAAATGTGGGGCGAATTCCTGCAAAATAGGGGATATAGGGGAGGCTTCGCCTCCCATGAAATTTTTTTAGTTGAGTCCCCTGGGATTGTAAAGGCTAGTGATGCACCTGATTGGCGATTCAATCATTAAATGCATTTTGAAGTGTTCATGCATAGAAGTCAGCTGAAGCACCATTTTATGTTTTGCACGTAGATTAAATGACTATAATTTGCATTAATAGTTTTAAATGAAAACAATTGGTTGAAGTGAAAACCACAAATTGGCACCACAGCTGTCTTCTATGTATGGATGCTTTTAATTAATGAATCGCCAATCTAGTAGTATTTACAGGGTTAGACAAAAAGTTACAAATAGCGTTTTGTTACAGGTAGAGTTATGTTACATAATGTAAAATTCAGTAATGTATTGCTTAAAAGTTTGGCGAAGAAGGGGGGGGGGGCTATCATTTTATTTTATTTATTACCAAAAAATATGAATAAATTCTATTTTATATAAATATGAATTTAAAAAATTCCAAAAATTTTTCATTTCTTCATTTTTTTTCTATATTTTCCTCTGAAAAGATTTCATTCTTCCTAGATGATTCATTTTCGATATTTTGATACATGGATCTGGAATCCCTTTTGATATCGAAGGTCCATTAACATTTATAAGCATTTATTTGAAAAATTACTTATCTTAAACTCGCTCATTTATCTACCATGATCAAAATCATAAGTTCATTCAGCAATACTGCATGACAATGTATCCACATTAAGGAATTCTTTAAATTTATATTAGAAATTCTTCACAGTTATTTTGTCGAAGCTCAGCAATCGTTTCATCGTTTACTTTGAATCTTTGGTAGATTCTTTATTTGCTTCTGGTCAAATCATGCATCTAGATTCTTGGGCTAATATTTTTTCCGATTAAAGAATAATCGGAAAGAATTTTAAAAAAATAATAATTTGATTCAAATTTATTCGAATCACCCTCGTTTTCAAGTCTATTTATATTTCTAGAGTAATTATAAATTGGTCTAATTTTTATCTTACAAATTTTGGATTTTTTAATAGTATATTTTTAAATAAATGTAATTTCTGAATCGAGCGATATCCATAATTACTTTCTTATATATAGTGTTTGAATGAAAAAAATAGGTAGGACCAATTCGTCTTAAAATTTTAGAAGGGAAATAGAGGCTAGGTTTTAAAAAGAGGTAAGGGAAATAAACACCATTTGTAGATTAAAGATAAAAATAACCAATGAAGAAACTAATTTATTAATAGATATTTATTTTTCATTCATAGCTAATATTTTATACAGGCTAAAATTGCATCCGCTCGGGGTAATGTTTAGAACATGGTTTCCAAAAACTAGTTGATTATCACCAACTAATGTTTATTTTTTATCCCTGGCCTAAATAATCATGAGGCCTGAGAGAGTTTAATTTGTATTATTTGAAAGGTATTAATAATGGCTCATTATAGCATATTTTTTAAATTAGTATCAGTATATGTTTAAAAAAGCGGTTCATTGGCAAATGGTTATTATTTCTTTCAAAGTAAATTATCAATCTCAACATCCAATAACCCACTTATTTGAAAATTTTAAACTCTTATATAAAATATGTTAAATTTGGACTATTTCTTGCATTTAGTGTTGTTAAATTGGCTCAATCCTTAGTGAAAAAAATTCACTAATCCTGAGGCAGGAATATTTTTTTTCAAGATTAAATCCTTTAGGTTTCAACCTAAAGCGAGCCTAAGATGATTAGAGTTGGCTTAAAACCTGCTAAAATAGAACCATTTATCACCAATACTTGTTGGTAAATCCTTCTATACTTAAAAAGGCAAAAGTTGTGGCGACATAAAAATTTATATAAAAATATTGAAAATAAAACCTTTTTTTTCTCTATTTTGTTTATAAAAAATAAGAAAAATAAAGTTAAAAGGGATTCAAATTTAACACTTTTGAAAATGTTATTAAATTTTAAATTTTTTAGCGGGAGGAGGGAAAAAAGAGGGTTTTAGATCTTCCTCAAAATAAGTGGGCTAAAAATCAAAAATAAATTCACAATATTCATCTATTAATTTGAAAATGTAACGAAGTGTTATGCAACCCCTACATTTTTTCAAGAATGCAACATTTGTTTTTCGTTATTTTAAAATTCATATATTGATTCAATAACACCCCCAAATTGATAAAAATTTGGAACATGAATCATAATGTTTTTTTGAAAGACGAAATTATTGTAAATGATGACGAAATTAATGTCGAAGATGAATTTAATGTGATAGACTGTAAATATTATCGATAAAAAGCAAGTTTTTAATAGCATACATTGACATTGACATTGACTATTGTTATTTACATAAACTTATTATATAATATTAATCATATAAGCCAGAGTAATGATCTTTTTAAATATGTTAATGTTACAAACTTGAAATAATACAGTGTAGTATTCATGAGTTAACGGTAGAATAATGGGCGAAATAGATTTTCTCCTTGATGAATTAGAAATTTGCCTGTGTTATGAAGTGTGAACCAAAAATTTAGTTTTACTAAATTTCCGTTATTTAAAAAAGTTTAAAAAAAAGAAGAGTATATTAATGACTTGAATATGAAAAAAGATAATAAGCGTCAAAAAGCTATGCAATCTAAAATAGGTATGCAAAACTCTCGTCTAGCAATGTTTTACAAATAATAAAGAGGTGATATGCAAAAAGTCAAATTTTGATTTATCCATCATCAAACGAAAGAGAAATATCTGATTCACCCAACATTCTAGGCAGGTTAGCTACTGATAATATATAATAAAAATAAAATTTTCCCATATTTTTTTAAGGAAAAATTAAATAACTAAATTCCTTACTCATTATCTCTAAAAGAAATAACGGATGCCGCTTCTTTTCCTCAAAAACATCCACTTTACTTTACAACACTAATTATATGTTTTAATTTGCAATTTATATATTTGATTGATTTTATTTTTAAAAATTGATAAAAGAACGATTTGCCTTTTTTACAGATTAATTATTGTCTTCATGTTCAATAATCATTTTTTCATTAATATAATAAAAATAAAATAGTACATTGTTTAATTTGAATTTCTTTTCATTTATGATTAAATTAGTGACATTTCATTGCATTCTGAATAAGTATCAAATTTAGATGGTTACAAAAGATAGAGGGTCATGTATTTGCGGGAATGAAAAATGCACAATGACAAATGATACCAAAATTTTCATGGACAACAAATTATCGTTTAAAGTTATAGTGAGCTAAGTTTTATATTAATAATCTATAATATTATATATTAACCAAGTATATCATCACTTTAATGTCTTTGCGAGTTATTTATATAATTTTCAAATTTTTTAAGCTAGATTCTAATAGGTTAAGTTCATGTTATTTAAGAGGTGGTAGGACATAACATCTTTATACAATATTCTTTCGGAGTATAATGTGAGATAATAAATATCCGATAGAAAAATGTACTGTGGATAAAAATTCTGGGACATTAATTATATTATCAGAATACAGGCCCGGATCAAACCTGGCTCAGATATACGATTATAAAATTTTTCCCATCAACCCGTGTAGGATAGAAAATTTTTCTATGAATCCAATCCGGTTAAAAAAGATTAATCCCGGATCTGGCTGAATATTTTAAAACTCTTACTATTATCATATACAACAAAAAATATAATATATTTAAAAATTGAATCATAAAATGATATATCATACACTTCTCATTTTCCTATTTCTATTTTAGAACCATCAACTTGTTAGAAAATAATTATCTAGTTTCTAAAGAAAAGTTAAATAATTATTGTATTATTCATTAATTTTTAATTTTTTTCTTATGTCCTTATCCTACTAGGAATTAATTTAGAGACTAAAATTAAATTACAAACAACCAAACCTAGGGAATTCTTATTCCTTGGGCATAATTACAATTAAACATTTTTAAATTTAACTATTGTTCCTTTTTGGAATATAATTATGCTTTTCTTAAAATTATTTTGAACAAAATTTTTCTTTTTTTTTATATAGCTTTATATGAACTATATCGTATATATTAAAAGCAGATAAATTGTTAATTTAAAAAAATTAGTTCTAGCCAAAAATTACATAACATATAAGAAAGAAATAATTACTATTTAGTGTGAACGTCACTTCAAAAAAGAAACGAGTTACTCATTATGCTTGAAAAGAGGAACGTGTTACTGTTACAAGTTACCCTGTGAAAAATGGAACCTGTTTCTCCATATTTAAAAATAGTAACATGTTACTCGTTACTTTTTTTTGAATATTTCAATATTTACATTAAAAATAGCATAATATATAAAACTATATTAAAATAACACTGCTAAATATTATATAAATTTTCATTTTATTTTTTTTCTTCATAGATAATAAAAATTAACAAAAAATAATATATTATCAGGTAGGATCTTTTTGTAATATTTTTTATTTATTTTTAACAACAATTGGTTTTCAAAATTTTGATCAGATAAACAATCGCGCTCAACACATCTTTCGCAGTGCTAAAAACACGTTCAACTGGAGCAGAGGATGGGAAGATTGTATTATATTTAATAAACAAAAATTCTAATTGATGACATTTATCAAAAATATTTAAAGAATAATCTTTACAAGAATCTTCATTCAGATTCTCATCAATTTTTTTACCTTTATCAGAATTTAATTAAAATTCTTATTTTATCCTCATATCTTTTTAGATTTGAGCTGCTAGACATCGTGGTTAAATATTTGGGCACAATCACACTTGAAATGTATAAACTTGGTCCTTTAA